TCACACGTATTGTGTATGAAGTGATAGGAGGAGGAGATATTGTGCTGACACACAGTCTCGACATTCCGGGGAACAGTAATTCATATGAGTTCTCTGTGATGGCTGTCCACAGAATGGCACCGAAAGCAAGGATTTTATGTTATTATGTGAGAGAAGACAACGAGGAAGTGGTGGCCGACGCCATGGACTTCGAAGTGGACGGACTGTTCAGAACTGACGTGTCGATCGACACCGACCTTAAGGAGGCAGAGCCGGGAGCACAGGTAGCCGTGAGAGTGAATACAAAGCCGGACGCGTGGGTGGGTATAGTAGGTGTCGATCAGAGCGTACTTTTGCTGAAATCTGGTAATGATATGACACACAAAGACGTGATCCAAAAGTTACAGACATACGATACGACTGGTATTAACACCTTTTGGTCGTACAACTCGTCCACCGCTGAACAAGTGTTTGACAACTCCGGGGTTGTGGTCGTGTCCAACGGTTTCATTTATGAAAATGAAGTGTACAGCGTAGGCCCTGGTCAGTTTAATCGTCTGCAACTGTTGTGTATATAAACTAAATTAGTGTAAAATGTATTGATTTGACTGTATTTTAGGTGAGAGCTCTCAATCCGTGAGAAGTAAGTCAATAGTTTGGCGATCATTGCACCACAATGTGGAGGAAGTGCGCCAAAGATCAGTATCACAGTCAGCGCCGTTGGATCGCCAGTCCCAAAGTAAACCCACCCAAACCAATGTCGGCATTAGTGTTAAAACTAGAAAACATTTTCCCGAAACTTGGCTATGGACCTCAATGCAAACAGGGTAACTTGTAACCAAATAACCAATTTTAACTTTACAGTTTAATTATAACTTTAGTTAAAATTTTTAAAATTAATTTCTTTAGGAGTAATGGTTGCGCTGTTATCAAGAGCACAATCCCCGACACAATCACCTCGTGGTTCATCAGCGCATTCGCTATGCATATGGAGGCTGGTCTGGGCATCGCACCCACACCTACGAAGGTATGATATTAGGGTTACCCAAAAACAAGTCATCTGTAAAACAATTAAACCTAATTTTGAAACCTTAGGTCACAGTTTTCCGACCGTTTTTCATCAAACTATCGCTGCCTTACTCTATAATTAGAGGCGAAACGGTAGCCATTGAGGCCATTGTCTTCAATTACACCACAAAACCAATTCAATCGGAAGTAGTATTTGATAACAAGAAGCAAGAGTTTGAGTTTAGCCACCGATTGCACACAAAAGGCGTAAATGTCTCTGAAATGAGACAATTGGTGTCAATCCCTGCCAACGATGGCGTTTTGGTCACATTCACGATAACACCGAAAACTATGGGTTATATTGACATCAAACTGACGGCTACCTCAGCCATGGCTGGAGACTCTGTGCTCAAGAAACTACTGGTGAAACCCGAGGGTCAGACACAACACTTTAATCAATCAGTTCTCGTGGATCTGAAAGAATCGGCGAATATATTGACGAAAAATGTC